TGCGGTCACCGATCATTGGCCACGCTCAACGTTGCTTAACTTCGGCGATCGAACGGGAACCGCTGTTTCGACATGATGCGGCCGAAAATTGTAATGTATTGGGTTTTTCAATATGAATGCGGCTAGGAAGTTTGGATCATGGTGTCGTGTGAGGTAATTTTTCTCGACACCTCCTTTGGATTCTTTGCAGCAATCATCTCCAGTGCGTCATTACGTGCATGTTAAGTTGAGCGTTTCATTGACTTGTTTGCATTTTTAGAGACGGGGTAAAACTTGCAGAAATGTTGCAAGCATTTGATTTATTCGACCCGAACACTCATCATTATGGAAAATTGCAAAATGATGATTGACCCTTGACGCGAAAAGGTCAAGATTGAAGTGTTTAGGAAAGCATTTTCGTCGGCATCTTTTGCATAATGTGCCAGATCTTTGTGAAAAAAAAAAAACATAGCTTTGTGAAACTTTTTTATATTTGAACAGACATACAGGCAGATAGATAGATAGATAATGAACATACTGAAATAGATAGATAGATAGATAGATAGATAGATAGATAGATAGATAGATAGATAGATATGACTAAACTAAATCATGATAGATAGATAGATATAAATAGACTAAGATAGATAGATAGATAGATAGATAGATAGATAGATATGACTAAACTAAATCATGATAGATAGATATGAATAGACTAAGATAGATAGATAGATAGATAGATAGATAGATAGATATGACTAAACTAAATCATGATAGATAGATATGAATAGACTAAGATAGATAGATAGATAGATAGATAGATAGATAGATAGATATGACTAAACTAAATCATGATAGATAGATATGAATAGACTAAGATAGATAGATAGATAGATAGATAGATAGATAGATAGATAGATAGATATGACTAAACTAAATCATGATAGATAGATATGAATAGACTAAGATAGATAGATAGATAGATAGATAGATAGATAGATAGATATGACTAAACTAAATCATGATAGATAGATATGAATAGACTAAGATAGAAGATAGATAGATAGATAGATAGATAGATAGATAGATAGATAGATAGATATGACTAAACTAAATCATGATAGATAGATATGAATAGACTAAGATAGATAGATAGATAGATAGATAGATAGATAGATAGATAGATAGATAGATAGATAGATATGACTAAACTAAATCATGATAGATAGATATGAATAGACTAAGATAGATAGATAGATAGATAGATAGATAGATAGATAGATAGATAGATAGATAATAATTAGAGATAGTTAATGGACAAACTGAAACAGACAGCTAGCTAGTTAAATAAGAACAAACTGAGATAGATAGATAGATAGATAGATAGATAGATAGATAGATAGATAATGAACATACTGAAATAGATAGATAGATAGATAGATAGATAGATAGATAGATAGATAGATATGACTAAACTAAATCATGATAGATAGATAGATATAAATAGACTAAGATAGATAGATAGATAGATAGATAGATAGATAGATATGACTAAACTAAATCATGATAGATAGATATGAATAGACTAAGATAGATAGATAGATAGATAGATAGATAGATAGATAGATAGATATGACTAAACTAAATCATGATAGATAGATATGAATAGACTAAGATAGATAGATAGATAGATAGATAGATAGATAGATAGATATGACTAAACTAAATCATGATAGATAGATATGAATAGACTAAGATAGATAGATAGATAGATAGATAGATAGATAGATAGATAGATAGATAGATATGACTAAACTAAATCATGATAGATAGATATGAATAGACTAAGATAGATAGATAGATAGATAGATAGATAGATAGATATGACTAAACTAAATCATGATAGATAGATATGAATAGACTAAGAAGATAGATAGATAGATAGATAGATAGATAGATAGATAGATAGATGACTAAACTAAATCATGATAGATAGATATGAATAGACAAGATAAGATAGATAGATAGATAGATAGATAGATAGATAGATAGATAGATAGATATGACTAAACTAAATCATGATAGATAGATATGAATAGACTAAGATAGATAGATAGATAGATAGATAGATAGATAGATAGATAGATAGATAATAATTAGAGATAGTTAATGGACAAACTGAAACAGACAGCTAGCTAGTTAAATAAGAACAAACTGAGATAGATAGATAGATAGATAGATAGATAGATAGATAGATAGATAGATAGATAATGAGCCGACTGAGAAAAGCAGCTATCTAGCTAAGTTTTAATACTGAAATTCACCACACAAATTTTCGAGAGCCACGCAAGGTAGAGTGTTACAGTCAAATTGATAATGATGAATGTAGTGTGTAATACAAACTGAAAAATTTTGAGTAGAACGATGGAAAATGATGGCTGACAAAAGGTCAAGACTGACGTGTTCAAAGAAACATTGTTGTTGTAGTCTTTTACATAATGTGTCAGTTCTTTCGAAAAACGTATCTTTGTGAAACTTTCTTATATTCGAATAGAGACACACAGACATATAGATAGATCTTAATACTAAATTTGATACAAGTCTCAGTAAGGTTGCACAATTCTATTTTCTCTGAAACTTTGTCATTGCTCACATGTTCGTATCCTCAGTAGCCTTCTGTAGAACCATATTTCTGTTGCTTCAAGTCTCTTTTTTTCTGACCCTTCTATATAGACACGGATTAGGATGGGTAGCAAATAGAATTTAAATTCTACTTCGTAACTGTATAGACATGAACTCAGTCCACACCGGGGTAGATAAGACAGACGACCGATATCTCCGACTGCCGAAATAGACTATTCCCCATATGAGGTAATTTTAGATATTATTGTTTACTAATAATATTGTTCTGTATTAAAAAATATTACATTGACCTCTTTCTGTGGCTCAGTCTAAGATTTCATATTACTAGGATTCAGTTCGATTATATAAAAAGGATTTTTTTTTATCTTTACTATATATATATATATATATATATATATATATATCTGAGTTTACTAGGAAGGTTAGTCGGTTAGTCAGTCCCTTTTACTTACGGCTGCAATCGTGGTGGACGCGCATTTGTTACAGTTTCTTTTAGATAGCACATCCTATGGCGAAGTCAACAGTTTGATCAAGGCCAGCATGTTCAAATCTTGGATTATGATGACTTCGTGACAGCGCGACCCCAGTCTAACAATTTCTTCCAGTCAATTCTATTTTCTCTGAAACTTCATCGTTGCTCACATGATCGTATTCTCAGCATCCTTCTGTACAACCATATTTCTGTTGCTTGAAGTCTCTTTTCTATATGTGAGGAAATTATTCAGCATTCATTTCTATATTCATTGCTATATAGAAGAACTGATATTACGTAACAGTTCAGTGGGTTTTTTTTCTTTATTTCTTACGAAATTCTCCTGTTTCTTAATACATTGCTTAGCTTTTGGAAGGCACCTTTCCCTATCCCAGTTGGCCTTCGGCGTTGCATTTTCCGTCTTCTGTTCTCAGGTATTTAAATTGTTGTATTTGTTTGGTTTTGGTATCCCCATTTTGTAATTTACATGTTGGGATATTCCTTTTGCTAACAACCATGCATTCTGTCTTCTTATAATTGATGTTTAGTCCTTTCTTCTGGCTTTCCTTTCTGTGTCTGTTTCGATACATGACTGACGTGGCAGAATTTTTTCCCCGCAGTAGATTGACATTTCTTCCTGCTGTAGACTATTTGTCATCCAAAGCTATAGAACCCGGTCTCTCCTGCAATCTACCCATAGCTGTGGGAGAGAAGAAGAGGATACATACCTTTCCCAAGGGTATTAGTACGTCAATCAGTCAGTTATGTGCCGTCGCTTATAGTCTCTCCGTGACAACTTGCGACATTCACAGAGAATATGGTATATGATATCCAAGGCTCCATATAGGTAACTATTATTAATATTATTGTTGTTGTTGTTATTGTTGTTGTTGTTTTATTTGATTTGATTTCTGGTGTACACTCATTTCTTGCAAAGTCCCGACTAAAGACCTTAGGTCAGAAATGGCATCATGACATTTTCCACTGAGCAATTTTGTAAAACAATAAAAAGAAAATTAAAATTAAAAAATTAAGAAATAAAAACCACACATATTTTACTTTGATAAAACTCTTTATAAGGTGAGGACTTCTCTTGTGAGAATAAGGTTTCCTTCCTAAACTTTTGTTTGAAGTAGTGTGGAATGTCAACATCTTGATTATGTCATTATTTTCTCTTCTCAAGCCCAGTAGCTGCTATCACTCTTTCCAGTATTGACAAGGGTTTCCTTCCTAGCCTTTTCATTGATGTTGTGTAGAAAGTCAACATCTTGATTATGCCATTATTTTCTCTTTGAGTTATATGCTGTATCCATTCTAATTGTTGCCGCTGTTGAAAGTCCTCAATTGATGTAGTTTCTGTTATTTGTTATCGTTCTTTGTTTGAGGTTCTTTAACGCCATTGATCGATCTGTTTTTTTTTTCTTTTTTTTTTGACAGATTATCAACTCTTTATCGATTATTTGAAGCGTGAACATAAATCGAATTGTAGGAGATTCTCTTACTACACATGGTGTCCCCCAAAATCAGAAGTCATGTTCCATAGCGTTTTCAACTCTGTAGTCAAATCCTGGAACTTTTTTCGTATCTGGTTTCTTTACGGCCAAAACCCATCATATCACGCACATTCAGCGAAACATTGTGATTCTGTTCATATCCCCCCCCCACCGCTGGTGAGATATAGGTTCCACTGGAGCAGCCTTGCGGAACAGTCTCCCAAGAAGCTGCTTCCCCAATCACTACAAACCTGCTCAAGTCTTGGGTTAACCGTTATCTTCCACATATACCGCATATGCTTTACCTCTTACTCTGTAACCCTCTACCTCGAGTGGCCCTTAGGCCTTGTACTGGTTGACCATCAGTGTAATTTATTTGTTTTTTAATTAAATCTCAATCTATAAAAGGCAGGATGTGTGTGTGTGTGTGTGTGTGTGTGTGTGTGTGTGTGTGTGTGTGTGTGTGTGTGTGTGTGTGTGAAACGAATGCACGGCCGCAATTTTCGACGGATTTGCACCAAAATTTACATGCACATGCTCCAAGTTAGCGGAGAAGGCCACGACCGACTTTACATTTCGCAACTCCCATCGATAGTGGAAATAATCGATTTTTTCATGCTTCTACGGCAGTTTTCATGTAGTTTGCGGCCATTTTCTACTGGCCAGAGTGAGACCCAATAGCTGGCTGCCACGAATAGGCAGGAAGATTCTATTGGCCAGCGTGAGAGCCAACAGCTGACTGACACGAATCTTAACTAGCATGCTAGCATGCAAAAAAAATCGATAGCTTCATTCGTTACAAGTGGGAAAAATTTAAATCTGCATGGCACTTTACTCCAATTGGCTCATTCGCTTGCTTAAACTCAACGTTGATTCTGATTCCGCAGAACTGGATTGGGTGTGAAAATGTATTTGTTGTTAACATTCTTTTTTCATTCTGTTTTTCCAGTTACGAGTCCTTTTTTAAAGCTGGTCGTTTTGTGTTCATTTTGTTTAGTTCTTTATTCGTAACAGATTTAATGTTTAGAGCTTAGAAAAAATTCGCAGTGTGAGATAGGCAAGAAGTAAGGCATGTAACAACATCAGCACAGCACAGGGCACTCCTTTAAAGGCAAGGTAGGGCAAAAATATTTTAAGTCAAGTGATAACGATTGCTGTATGAATCTATTAATCTAAGTATGGTCATATCTATCTATCTATCTATCTATCTATCTATCTATCTATCTATCTATCTATCTATCTAAGCCTGTTCGCATCTATCTATCCATTATCTATATATCTATCATACTGTTCATTATCTATCTGTTCACTTTCAGTCTGTCTGTCTGTCTATCTATCTCAGTATGTCAATATCTCTATCTATCTGCTCATTTTCTATTTATCTATCTATCTATCTATCTATCTATCTATCTATCTATCTATCTATCTATCTCAGTATGATCATATCTATCTGCTCATTTTCTATCTATCTATCTATCTATCTATCTATCTATTTCAGTCTGTTTGTATCTATATATATATGTTCATTATCTATCTATCGATCTATCTATCTATCTCAGTATGATCATATCTACCTGCTCATTTTCTATCTATCTATCTATCTATTTCAGTCTGTTTGTATCTATATATATATGTTCATTATCTATCTATCTATCTATCTCAGTATGATCATATCTATCTATATGTTCATTATCTATCTATCTATCTACTATCTATTTATCTATCTGTCAAACTGTTCTTTATCTGTTTATCTGCCTATCTGTTTGGTTACTTTCTATCTATCTATCTATCTATCTATCTATCTATCTATCTATCTATCTATCTATCTATCTATCACAGTGTGTTCATATCTATCTATCTATCTATCTATCTATCTATCTATCTATCTATCACTTTCAGTTTTTCCATTCTATCTATCTAATTATCACATTGTGTTCATATCTATCTATCTATCTATCTATCTATCTATCTATCTATCTATCTATCTCATATATTTATTTGGACATAAATGTGTTTTCGCAGACAATCGTTTAATTTCATCCCTTACTGCGTTCTCCACAGCTCTCACCCTTCTAACGAGCAGAATCAGGCAACTGAAAATGTTTGCGCTTCCTCTGATGCCAGTTAAGACGGCTTTTGGGTGAACTTGTAGAAAATGTTAAAGGAACAAACAGCCTGAATACAAAGAGTGGGTCATATGAGAGCATGCCAACAAAAAGAGTGGAAGAGAGAAAACAAAAGAGCAAACGAAAGATGTGGAGAACCATGACCGCCTACGCCCCGAAGTGTTTATTGCCCATCGAAAGAGTGAGCAAGAGCGTACCTATTAACCATCAAGACAAAAGAACGAAGGAATTGCAAAGCGGTACACATTGTTCAGAGTAAACAAAAGAGTTGAAAGATGTGGAGGACCATGACCTCCCACGCTTTGAAGGGACATGACACACCAAAAAAGAGATAACTTATTTGTCACAAAAACAAAAAACAAAAATGTTGATAATAAAACGACGGGCATTGTTGAGAGCAACAAAAGACATAAGTTTGGAGAACTGTAGCCGCCCACGTCCTGAGGGGACAAGGCACACAGAAAGAAAAAAGAGAGAGAAAGAGTGAAAGCGCTATGAGAGAGATATATATATATATATATATATATATATATATATATATATATATATATATATATATATATATATATAACACGATATAAAACACGAAAATGTTTGGTGTACTCGGCAGCATATGTTGCCTCTGACAACTTTAATTAAATTCATTTGACGAGTGTTTTTTGACTTTTATTGCTTATGGACCTACCGTTTTTAACACGCAACATTAACAGCGTTTGGTTTAACTCTTTTAACTCTCCTGTAACTGATACGCACACACACACACACACACACACACACACACACACAT